TCCACGACCCAAGAGCTGCTGCCACTGCTCTGCCGTTTCCCAGTGCTGGCTGAGGAAAGGGTCAACCGTCTTCAGCAGAACTCAGCTGATCACGCCCAAGGACGGATGAGACGAAATGTGTCAAGGCAGTTGTGTTATCAAGCATGAGTGTGGTTTCACCCCATCAGCGCCTGCAGGAGGGGGGACGAGGTGTTCCCTCTGTGAGGCAAGAGGGAGGGACTGGGGGTGGATTTGAGAAGTCTGGAGCTCTTCAGGCTAAGGAGAACTGTCTCAGCAATCAAAGAAAGCTGACTGCTGGACTTTTCTCCCAAGACCAATTGAGTTAAACCGTTCGTACAAACTTGTTTCTTGTCTTCAGTTCCCTCCAGAAAGGAAAAAGGTGGTAATGACAACATTTGGGAAGCTCAAGCCTGCCTCTGGGTAAAATAGCTATTGGCATTAGGCACTAAGGCTGTCAGTGCATAGGTATTGCTAGGAATCCCAGCACTAATGATTTTCTTCTTCCTAAAATAAGCAGCAGTGTAGTCTACGTGTACCAGAAAAGCCAGAAGTTCACATTTCAAGGTAGGAACCTGGACATGCTCCGTTAATCAGCACTCAAACAATTGCTCTGTTGCTGAAGCTCATGTTCCTTAATGGAGGCATTATCACAGCAACCAGCATCTTTTCATGGACCTTGAAGCCTTCTACAAAATATTGGCAACAAAATCCCCTGAAGGTTCCAGTCATCCTGCTCACACCCCAGTCTAATCTATGGTTCTCTCTAGCTAATTTGCGTGGGAGTGTTAGCCTCTTAGTTGGAGGTACTACCCCAAGATCGCTTATGTGGAAATCATGAAAGCATAGAATATTAGATTGGAAGGATTGGCAGAGATCATTCATTCCCTCCTGCCATTTTATAGATCAAGAGAGGTCCTGAGAGCGTAAGTGACTTGTTTACACCTGCTTAGGGGTAGAGCTCAGACCCAATTTGAACTTGTTATCCTGGCTGGTAAATTAATTCTCCTCCTGACTTCCCTACTTTTATAAACAGCACCTTTATTCTCCTGGTCACCGTGGATCAAAATGTCAATCTTCCTTGACGTGTCCCTCTTCCTCACCTCCCCTATTAAATCGTCCTCCAAGTCCTGCAGGTCTTCCTAGAACTCTCTCTCAAGCCTCATCTGTCCTCCATATCCCACCGCTACCAACACCATTCACATATATCTATGACAGAAGCAAAGGCTCGAGGTGAAGTAGAGTGAACTCGCCTCGGGCATGTTTCCTCCTTGGGGTGGTAGCGGTGAGGGTGTGTGAGGATGAGGCGTTTGGAGTCCTGGGCCTGTCTCAGTCTCTCATCCTCTTTCTTTCCACCCCTTTAGTATGACTTACAGAATCTGGAAAGCCTGGTCGCAAGGCAATGCCATTGCCACTGTCCTGTCTTAGTGGAGCATTGAAACAACTGATTCAGAGGGTTCTTTGCGAGGTTGCCTTCTCCTGGGGGCAAGAAAACCAAAGACCATTTGACCATCCAACCATCCTTAACTCAGCTTTATTTTACCCAGTCACAAGGAAAGTGCTGAGCTAAAGAGAGTAAAATTACTTTTTTATTCTAAGGAAATAGTCGCAGACTGGTGTTCGATGGATAGGGAATCCAATTCCAGGATGCGTTCACCTTCAGGTGGGATGCATTCTTTTAGGGTGCTTCTTTAAATCCCGTCACACGTGCAACCCACATAAAGGGTTGTTTACTCTTAGTAAGGGGCAATCCTGAGAGAGGCCCTCTGAGAAAATAGAGTTTAGGTGACAAAACTTCAAAAAATCTGCTTAGTTTGGCTAAAATATTTAGCACAGCAGCTGATAATTTAAGCCGAATACAGCCTTGATTATAGATAACACTTGTCATGTGGCAATGAGTTGTTACTTCTCCTTCTCCAAGTGCGGGTTCAAATTCTCACCCTGACAATTACCAGCTACGTAACTTTGGCTAAGCTGTTTAACTCTGCTATGCCTCAGTTTCCACATCTACAAAAGGTGATAACAGCAGCTATTTCACATAATTATTGTGAAGATTTTAAGTGCATGTTTGACTCTCCCTCCCCAGGGCCTAGTACCATGCCTGGCTCACAGGACTCAGTAATTATTGGTGAATTATTTCATTCATGTAATTTTCTATAAACGCCTTTTGAAGGCTCATCTTAAAAATGTCTTTGTCACATGGTGAACTGAGTTTTGGGAGGAAAATTTGCCCGAGAGATGCTTTCTTATTAATTAGACTGAGCTGCAGACAGTGTCTGTGAAGAGAAGTTGAAACCAGATAGACGTTTTGCATATTTTATGGCGACACTTGAGAAATGTTAGGATATCTCCACTCTCGCATTTGGATGTGTTCTTGGAATTGCCTTCTGTGTCCCATCCAAGAGGACTGGAAGTTGATTTGAGTTTCTCCCCAGAAGTTGCAGACTGTGGGTACGGACACTGTTCATCGTCTTTCTCAGTCAGCAGTGGCCTCCCTCCAATATCCTACACATTTGGGGCCCATATCCTCCATTGGACATGTTAGTACACATTGTCTTAGGACATTTATAGTTGTCATGACTTGTCATTTAATTATCGTAGGTTCACTTTATATTTCAATTGGCCACTTCTCCTTTTGGGGGAGGATAGAGTCTTATTTCTCTTTCCCTCACAGGGCCTCTCATGTCATGAATAAAAACAGTGAACTATTTGCTGATTGATAGGTCTAAAATTATGTTTGTCCCACACTTTTGAAAATGTCATTTCTGAAAGGGAAGGTGTTGAATAGCCTTCTCTAGAGATCTTTTAAAATAATGTAGTTTCTCTCCTGATTGGGGTGAGAAAGTGAGGTCTTCAGGGGCAATGAAATGGCCTCTGGATCTGAAATTGGAATTATTTGAACTCCAGTTTGAACGTACATCTGAAAATAATGTGTTAAAAAAAATGACAGGATATTCTGTGAGAGAATATTCTACTCAAACCATGCGGCTGGGGCCAGGACAAGGACGTGGGTGTACAGAAAAATGTTCTCCAGTTCAGAAACCAGGAGAGAAGGGCAGAGGGCGATTGTGGGAGCAGGAGCACAAGGTCTAGGTCAAGACAGCTGGTGCATTTTGCTAGGCCTTGCGAGTCCAATGAACTGGGTCTGGGAGAGAGCAGGTGCACTGGTTCTCTGTCACTGCCATCACAATACCGCACCTGTTCAGTGGCTTAAAATAACACATTTCTTATTGTCTTAGTCCATGTTGTGCTGCTGTAAGATAACGCCCAAGACTAGATAATTTATAAAGAAGAGAAATTTGTTCTCTCACTATTCTAGAGGCTGGGAAGTCCAAAGTCACGGTGCCAGCATCTGATGTGGGTTTTCTTACTCTGTCTTCACATGGCAGAAGGCAGAAGAAAGAAACCCACTCCCGCAAGTCCTTTTTATGGTCGCATTAAACCATTTCTAACATGAGAGCCCTCATGATCTAAACACCTTCCAAAAGGCCCCACTCCAGTCACTGTTGCATTGGGGATTAAGTTTCCAACACATGAATTTTGGGGGAACATTCAGACTATGGCACTTATCTTACAATTTTCTAGGTGAGAAGTCCAGTATGCGTCATGCCAGGCTAAAATCAACTCTTCCATTTGGAAGTCTCCCAGGCATCTGAGACTTTATGAGTCCTAAACGGAACTCAGCTTTTCACCCCAAACTTGCTTCTCCTAATGTCTTTCCCACCTCAGTAAGTACCAATCCTATTCAGCAGACGTTCAGGTCAAAAAGTTTGCAGTCATCCTCAACTCCTCTTTCTTATAAGCCCCGTTCAACAAATCATTAGCTTTACTGTCAGAATTATACCCGGAATCTGATTATTTCTTACTGTCTCACTCTCTCTCATCTGGATCCCTGTAGTAGCATTTTAAACGAGTTTTGCTTCTTCCGTGCATGCCCCACTTGAATCCATCCTCAACACAGCAGCCAGTGTGATCCTGCTAAAATGTAAGCCAGATTGGTTACTCCTCCACTCCCCACAGCCAATTGTCCCATCTCATTCAGGCTGAAAGCCACAGACACTATGATGGCCTGAGAGGGTGGGCCCATCACTCCGCTGACCCTGTGTGCACCATTGGTGTTACTTGTCCACCTCGCAGGTGTTTGGATCATCAGATATCAAAATTTCCCACCTGCCCTTCACCATGAGCCATCCTGGGAGGCAGATTTCAGGTGGAATGGGGCACCGGGTCCCTCCATGTTCTTTGGCCCACCTCTGTCTTCTCCCATCCCCATCATGACAGTTAGCAGAGTCAGAATGTGGGGGCTTTTCTTGCCTTACCCAAAAAGTTGATAGAAATAGATTTCTCTACAGGGTTTCATGCTCCTCAATCTAACAACAAGCCCAGGGTCATTTTCTAGTTCTGCTGCTTTTGCACCCACTCAGGCCATAACTGAAGTAGCAGCTGCTGCTACAATGCAAACCAGTTGTTGGGGTTTGAGGAGGGGCAGATGTTCTTAGACAAAAGGAATGGAGGTGGGGTGAGGTGGTTCTTCGTGTTAACATCAGTTTTCTAACATCTTTCTGCTCAATTGGTTTACACTCTTGGGGATTTTGTGCAGTGGACAAGCATCTTTGAGAACAACTGTTCCCAGTTGTTGAATTCAGTAGCTGGTAATGAGATGAAGGAGGCAGACAAAGACCTTCCTTAAAGGAGGCAGGGTGGGGGCAGCGTGGTTGGTATTCCCTCTCACGCCTCCCCTTGCACTGTTCTTGGTACATAGAAGGTTTAATGCATGTTTTATGAACAGAACAGACATACTTTTAAAAGTTAATAAACATATCAGATGATAAATCAGTCACACACAAATAAGGCCTAGAATACACGCATCTTATTATCACTGGAATTCAATATCATCGTAGCCAAGGGAACTGAGAAGGGGGCTAAAGATGGGCGAAGGGCCTTTTTAGGACATCTGAGGTGGCAGTGGGGTTGATGTGTTGTGTCCTGCTTTTGTCTGATAGGTCATTGCTTGTGAGCAGCAGTATGACTCTTCCTATGATGCTCGCTGTGACGTCTGGTCCTTGGGGATCACAGCTATTGAACTGGGGGATGGAGACCCTCCCCTCTTCGACATGCATCCTGTGAAAACACTCTTTAAGATTCCAAGGTAGGACACAAGATGGCGCTCTTGACTCATTAGTTTTCTTGTTTAAGAGTCCCGTTAGAGGGATAATAGAGTTGGTAAGCAATTTCTCTCCGAACCTGAGGAAGCCTGATTGTAGAATATATTTCCTTTTGAAAAAAACCAAAAAACCCAAAACAAAATAAGAGGTGTGTGTGCGGGGTGAGGATGTTCCTGAAAGATAACATACCTCAAGAATAATAGGATTGTGTTATAACAATTGCATATTTTCAGTGCTCCTATTTTTCTGAGTTGTGCATATTTTGTGCTTTGCACAAGAAGACTACAAATGCAATTTTGGATTAAATAAGCTGTCTAAATACTGATGTTTTCTTTTTAATTATATACTCCCTCTAGTTTGCGGGGGGGGGGGGGGGGAAAAAAA